GAATAATTAGATTAAAAAATAAAAATTTGAAGGATTTCCGTATAAAATCTTCTTTGGTCCAGATTTTAAGTTAGGAACAAGATGTCGAGATGAGTCACTGAGTTTGGAACCATGCACTGAGAAAACGTAATCAATTAAAACGTGTTCCTGGAAAATATTCATTCTCCGTAGTGAGTTCTTTAACTATTATAAGTAACTTAATTACTTGGTTTAATTAAACTGAATTTTCAAGAACCAGATTAATTGAAATTAATAGATTATTGAACTAATTTGCTTGAAAATAGCAAATCCTGTACTTCTTTTATTAAACTGTTGAATTAGCTCAGGTAATTTAGTTTATGTAATAAAGGTACGAATAGAACAATTGAACATTTTGATAAAAGCATTTAAACTATTTATTTGAATCGAGGACTCGGCAGGACTTGTGATATCCTCGAGGAGCTTTGCATTTGAATATTGCCATTGTTTGTATAGTCGATCAATTATGGTGATCATGTGGAATTTGCGAGCATAAGCCCCTTAGTGATACATAACTATGGTTAGAATATTTCTTGATCCCAACGAAACACCCTGTATAGGGGAGTCACTGCTGACGTGACGGAATGGGAAGAACTTTGAAATTTCATTTATGAAGCCATATTTAGGTCAATGCTGCATGTACGCCAAACATGTGCTTAACATAGGCTTGATGTGCTTTTCTTTTATATTGTATGTATTGTATAGGATGTGGAGCCTCCTGTTGGTGAAGACTTTGTAGTATTTGAAAATATCCTAGTTTGTTTGAACTGATGTCGAATTTGTTTATGTATGTATCTGTTTTGAATGCGGGTGAGTGCAATATTGTTTTATTATTAGAAATAAAAGTACAATTTTTGTTCAAATGATCAAGCGGCCTTATTCAGTTTCAGGTGTCTGCCTCTCTACTTCCTGAATTTAAAATAAAGAGTTGCTTCTAGAGAATGGTGATAATATTATAACCTGTTTCTGAAGAATCAAACAAAAAATTGGTAAAGCTTGGCCCCCCATATAGTAGTTCACAATTAATGAATATGAAAACATCGACTTTTGTTAGGGTTAGCAAATCTTCCCTATTTTTTGACATCTAAGATTTGACGGAGCAGTTAAAATTTAAATCATTCACTAAAATGCATTGTGTTCTTTCGAATTCCAAATATTATCCACATATACTCTTAAATCTAAATAAAATAATTCATTAAGAGTGGACAACATTGACATTTAACGGTCACTTGAACACATAAAAAAGGCCTTATCCAAATGAAATATGATGGAAGCTGTGAAAGCTCTCTGAATATCAGTGATTTTTGCGCAAATATTGAATAAGATCGTGAAAAAGCGATTGTATTATCAAGAAGATCACTTGTTCCTCCTACATGGTACTTTTGTACAGAAAAAACAGAACAACTTTCATGAATTCTGCTATTTCTTATCAATCTAATCAACACACGAATGAAAATGCTCGAAATAGTAGTAGTCGATTTTCTAGCATTTATATTTAATAGGATTTTTTATCATCGCCATGTATAAGAGATAATTGACAATACGTCATGTTTTGCTCGTGAAAGTTCTGAACTTTATCAATGGCAAATCCGACTTAAAAAAACATTGAGATGAGACTCTGGAGGTCAGAGGTCAAAGTACTGATCCCCAGGGTCCCTGATGATGAATGAACCCAGCTAGAAGGAGAGAACAGAAATTACCATGAAATCAAAGGAATTGATCACACCAGCTGTAGCAGACGAAAAGGACAGAACCATCCAGCGCCTGACACTGATCATCGAAAGCCAGGCCAGCAAATAAAGGAACTGACTGAGACAGCTAGGGACCAAAACGGTGAAATAGACAGCCGACCACTCAGGTAACGCAATCAATAATCCAAAGGACGCGGCCACACGCCTATGGGAAAAGTGGTTTCGGCTAATTTCGCTGAATTTTTGATATGTTATGTGCCTTGGCATCCTGAACAAATGTTTCAATCGTCACATGCCCCCAACCTCAATGGGTTCCAAGATATAGGCCGTTCAAGTCGGCATAATGGAGTATCGGCCCTACTCAATATCTGCTTTAAGTGGAAAAATAGTTTCGGTCAGTTTCGCTGAATTACTCATATGTTATGTGCCTTAGCGTCCTGAATAAATGCCTCAATGAGTACATACCACAAGACACAACAGGTCCAAGATATAGTCCGACTGGGTAATTAGTAATTAGTCGAATATCTACTTCAAGTGAAAGAGTGGTTTCGGTTAATTTTGCCAAGTTTCTTAATATGTTATGTGCCTCAGCATCCTAAACAAATGCCTTAATAAAATGCCCCAAAACTTAACGGGTTCCATGATATAGGGCGTCCAAGTCGATATAATCTATTGATTATACTGGAATATATGCTTTAAGTGAAAGAGTGGTATCGGTTAATTTTGCTGAATTTTTGATATGTTATGCGCCTTGGCATCCTGAAAAAACGGTTCCATGGCCACAGGACCCCAACTTCAACAGGTTCCAAGAGATAGGCCATCCAAGTCGGCATAATAAGAGTATCGGTCCTTACTCTATTGAGTAGAACTGTTTCAAGTGAAAGGGTGGTTTCGGTTAATTTCGCTTCGTGTTTTAAAATGTTATGAGCCTCTGCATCTTAAACATATGTCTTAATGGAAACAGGCCCAGTCAGTATAATCTATTGGCCATACTGGAATATATGCTTTCGCTTAATTTTGCTGAAGTTTTGATATGTTATGCGCTTTGGCATCCTGAACAAATGGTTTGATGGCCACAGCCCCCCCACTTCAAGAGATTCCAAGATATAGGCCGTCCAAGTCGGCATAATGGAGTATCGGTCGTGCTCAATATCGGCTTTAAGTGGAAGAGTGGTTTCGGTTAATTTCGTTGAATTTTCTATATGTTATGTGTCTCAATGTCCTGAATAAATGGCTCAATGGTCACAAGCCCCAAAACTCAACGAGTCCCAAGATATAGGCCGACCTAGTTGGTATAATTGGATGTCGGATTTACTCAGCTGTCTGCTCTATCTAGAAGAGTGGTTTCGCTTAACATGATATGAATAATTTTTGAAATCTAATTTATCGCGTCATCATGAACAAATGTCTCAAGAATCACATATAATTGGAACCACATCCCTTTTCCATTGGGGTTGGAAGAGTTAGACTCAATGAAGTTTTAGTAGCAGGTAGGCCGACGAATCTGTTTACCGGCTACGACTCAACAAGAGCTACATGCGCAGCAGCACATTGATCGGATACGTTGGTGTGTGAGGACATTTTTTAGGTTATTCGTTACTTGTTGCAATCTACAAACAGGTCATTACTGAGTACTGCGCAAGCATTTTCTGTTTAGTTTTCCATTGCATTATATACTTTTTGTTGGTCGTTTCTCATTCCATCGTTAATCGTGTTTCGTTTTCGGTCTCTCGTTTTTCGTTTTCGTTTTCCATTTTCCATTTTCGTTATGGTTATTCGTATTGTTTTAATTTCGTTATTTTTAGCATAACGTGTAGAGTTTTAATTTTGAGCTGTGCAGCTAACATTTTATACTATAGCAGCGAGCATGGCGCAGCGCTTGCCATGTTATGTGTGTAATGAAGTTTTCGCTATTCGAACCATGCGACTTGTGAGAAACGTCAGCAATTCAAAAGTGGAGATTGCTATGAGGTACCGTGATTTATTACTTACACGGGACGAAGCGGCCTTCAAAGCCTTAGGTTGAATGCACCGGCTTAGTATTGAGGCTCGACCTGGAATATATTTGGAGAGTAACATTCACGTCCCTCAAGCATATCGGATCTGTTCACAGCACCTCGATGAAAACGGAGATTTCGTTTGAGGAACTTTTATATAGTTGTCAGTTATTTTTTACACGATTAACAAAATCGGCTCTAAAAAATCGTGCGCATTCTCTTGATTGTTATAATTTGACTGATGAAAATTGTACTTATCTTACTTCGACATCAAAAGCTCAATTCAATAATTTACATGAGTCTTGCATTCCTGTCTTTGGAGGTAATAGCTTTCGTGGTTACCACAGAATCTCGCCGTAAATCTTGAAACCCATTGAGTTTTGGGGCATTTGCCCATTAGAGCATTTGTTCAGGTAGCCGAAACCGCCCTTTCACTCAAGGCATACATTCGAGTTACATTATATTGACTTGGACACACTATATCTTGGGACCTATTGAGTTTTGGGACCTCTGTCCATTAAGGCATTTGTTCATCATTCCGTATCACACAACATAAAAGATTCAGCGGAATTAACCGAAACCCCTATTTCACTTAGACCATACATTCCTATTATGCCCAATAGATTATACCGACTTGGACGCCCTATATCATAGAATTCGTTGAGTTTTGGGACCTGTGCTTATTAAGGCATTTATTCAGCACCCCAAGACACATAACATATGAGTAATTCAGGGAAATTGGCCGAAACCACTCTTCCATTTAAAGCAAATATTTGAGTAGCACCCATTATACGCCCTATATCTTGGGACCCGTGGAGGTTGAGGGCCTGTGCCCATTGAAACATTTGTTCGGGATGCCAACACGTATAACATATAAAAAATTCAGCGAAATTAACCAAAACCACTTTTCCCATAGGCATGTTGCCGGGTCCTTTTAATTCCAAATCTGACAAGGCTATCAATTTAAAAATAGCTCTTGAAAATTTGACGATAACGTGACATCGACGGACAATGAAATACAGAATGACGGATTCATTTAGGCCAAGTCTAGGAAACGACGCAGCGACAAATCGAACAAAACCGACAAGACGGATGACTTCCCACCTCTTACACAAGCAAAATCCAAACTGAAGTTGACAGTTCCCTCAAAACCGCCTGCTTCATTAAACGTATCAACTTCTTCTGCCACTTGTCCTATGACAGTCGATGCTGCGACCACGCCTCCTGAATCTTTGGCCATTTCATCGACTGATGGTGCATTATCTCAACAATCTCACGTTGCTGGTGAGTTGACCAGCACCCCGCCAGGGGCGAATCACACCCATTGTTTTGGGTGATGCGGCCAAGTGGGGAAATCAAAACTACTCCTTTATAAGCTAAGGCATTAAGATAGAACGCGCAGTTGCCATTGATGCGGGAATCAGGATTTTGCCGAATACTGAGGATGACTACTGCAGGATCATTCGCCTGTTCAGGGAGGAGGACGTGCCCCATTATACGTTTCCTCTTCCTTCAGAATGAAATATTCACGCGGTAGTCAGATGTATACCCGCAATGTTTTCAGAACAGAAGATCAAAGGGGAATTAGAACAGAGCGGATATACTCCCCTCCACATTGTCCGACTCAAACGCAGTGGCGGCGCACCCATGCCTTCGGTGGTCGTGATACTGCCCAAGATGGAAAAGTCCCAGCAGCTTGTTCAATGAACATGAGCTGCTGGGTCTAGCAATCAGAGTTGAAGTTCAAAAGAACTCTATACTTATGGGGCAGTGTCACCGCTGCCAAAGGTATGGTCATGGTGCACAGCATCTCCCAAATGTTTAAAATGTGCTTCCGACCTCATGATACACTTATGCCCCCTCACAGTACAAGAGGAGCGAAATCGTGCGAATTGTGGAGGAACGCATCTCGCTAACAGACCCACTTACAGATTCATCCCCAGGAGAAAACTGGAAGTCATAGCGCAAAGACGCAGAAAGTCACACGCGGAAGCAGATGTCTCAACATTTTCGGCTGTCACCTCTGTTCAACCCACTTTGAACACGCAAAAAGCGGACCTAGCAACTGCGCTTAGGACCCTTCAGCAAATAATAAGTCCCCTGATTAACGCTACTCAGGCATTGTAGACCATCTTTCCGAAGCCATTGAATGGCTAGGCACAATAGACAACCTGCATTTGTCAAAATTTCCGTATAAAGTCTTCTTTGGTCCAAATTTTAGGTTAGGAACAAGATGTCGAGATGCGGTTTTCGCGAGCTTGTTCAGACATCATTTACCTACTCGAAAATATTTTCCAGGTTTTTCTCTTGGCCGTTATGGTAATAACTGTCTTTGCCGCAAGCCTCTACGATGGATAGGTTCCCAGACACTGTGCTTGGCATTCTTAGTTGGCCACCCTGTACAATCGTATCCTCTTTCCAGCATTTAGTAATGTCCTGATTACAACATATACATATGGTACATTGCGGCCATTCATTAGTGCTATTCTTATACTCCAGGAAAACTAAGATCCTTGATTTAGAATAGAAGTTTGTTGTGTTACACCAAGATTTTAAATACATTTCGATCCGACGGCTAAAGTTAACCAATCTGACACAAAAAATGCAAAATATATTTAGACGCTCGCTTGTTTGAAAGTTTAACAGGAGATCGACTGGCGCCGATGAGTCACTGAGTTTGGAACCATGCACTGAGAAAACGTAATCAATTAAAACGTGTTCCTGGAAAATATTCATTCTCCGTAGTGAGTTCTTTAACTACTATAGTAAGTAACTTAATTACTTGGTTTAATTAAACTGAATTTTCAAGAACCAGATTAATTGAAATTAATAGACTATTGAGCTAATTTGCTTGAAAATAGCAAATCCTGTACTTCTTTTATTAAACTGTTGAATTAGCTCAGGTAATTTAGTTTATGTAATAAAGGTACGACTAGAACAATTGAATATTTTGATAAATGATCATGTGGAATTCGCGAGCATAAAGCGATGATCTGGACAATGACCTTGACGAGGAACGATAAATTTCAAAGCGAATGGTGACAACAACATCAGTGCTAACATCGGTGACTCCTTTTCAGGACATTCTTCTACGCAAAACTCTTCAGATGAATCTCTGCATAGCACATCAGCGGAATCCTCTGAGATTCCGTTTTACACACCAGCAGACCTTCAAAATCACATTAAGAACCTAAAGGTACGTAAAGCACCTGGAGAGGATCAAATCACCAACAAAGCACTGAAGTTGCTTTCGCTCAAGGCTTTGACTTATCTGGTGGCAATAATCAATGCAAAGCTCAGAACTCATTACTTTCTTAAGGCGTGGAAGATCGCTGAAATCATCATGATCTCAAAGAAGCTAGGTTTTCCCCCAGGATTACCGTCCCATTAGCCTGCTGTCAGCTCATTCTAAGCTCGCTGAAAAGGTAATTTATCGTCACCTTGCGAATTTCTCGTCAGATCACCATGTGATTCCTGACGTGCAATTCGGTCTGAGCATAGTAAGGAGCTACAGGCAGTTAGACCGGTGGAGCATGTAACCAGGAGGTTCACCGTCAACAAAAGAACTGGTATCTTGCTTTTAGATGTGTCAAAGGGATTTGACAAGGTGTGGCACATGGGCCGCTTGTATAAGTTTATCCAGAAGGGTTTTCCACTTTGGCTACTAAAACTGTTGAAATCTTTTCTAGAAGGAAGGAGGTTTCGGATTAGAATTAACAATGTGTTGTCAACAATACGTCCCGTAAGAGCCGGTGTTCCTCAGGCTCCGGTTTTAGGACCAATCCTTTATTCACTTTATATACATGACTTCCCTTGCCCCAACAACTGTGAAGTCTATCTCTATTCTGACGACACTGTACTGCTCTAGCCCAGTATTGTTCTGGTAACCTGGTTCACGACAGGCTGCAGAGTGCGGTGGATGAAGTATTGGAGTGAGCGGATCTGTGGTTGATCAAAATTAATACTTCGAAAACGCAGGCAATCTATTGTACTAAAAACGTCGCGGTGCCCCATCAAAGATACCAGTGAATGGAACTCGGATACCATGGGAGCAATCTGTCAGGTACCTTGGAGTCATCATTGACAAGGGGTTGACCTGGCAGACATAAACTGATATTTTGAAAACGAAATTCCAAATTACTTTTCGGCAGCTTTATCCTGTGTTGTGCAGAAATTCATAATTAAGTTCGGTCAACAAGGTTCGGTTGTATAAAATGGTCATAAGACCTGCAATCACATACGCATGCACGGCTTGTTTTTTTTTGCCAAGGCGCACATGCAGAGACTGCAAGTCCTGCAAAAAAGAACCCTATGTACAATCACTAACGCCCCTTGGTACGTGTCAAATGACCAATTCACAGAGACCTTGATATCCCATATGTAAGGGATTATGTAAAGCAACTAGCACAACGGCGTTATAATCAAGCCGAATCGCACAGCAACCCTCTGTTGCGTGATTCAGTAGACTACACAGTCGAGCAAGATCAAAATTGAATTGTGAATTTCGGACCAACCAATATTATTACAGTATACAAAACCGATCAAAATTGTTTTTTGGGGTAACAAAATTATTCGAGTAGCCAAAGCAATAATGCTTAAGCTATTTCAAATGATTCACTTCTATTCTGTGCTCTATTTTTTCCTTCCTTTCGTTCATTCTTTCCCTTTTCCCCATAAACATGTAGAGTATCTGGGTAGCCAGACCTGACAGACTAACAGACCGACGAGACTTTTAACTAAGAGCAATGGTCCACCGGACTGCTCTAATGAACAATGATGAATAGTAGGATTTTTTAACTGTTTTTGACGACTGTCCATGCATGGCAATCTAGTCGTGTCTCTATATCACATACAGGGTGTTGTACATAATACTTGCCTGTAGAAATGTAACGATTTCTTTTAGTTTGCCAAAAAAAATATATAAAACTTATTCCAACTGGATCATCATCAAATACAATTTATTGCCAATTTATGATTTAGAAATCCACATCAAATGTAAACAAATAGCACAACCTGCATTCTTGGGTCCTGAAACGTCGATATTTATAAATGTATCCGCATTCTCCTATTATTTATCATCTAGATATTATAAGTCAGAATCGAAAGTACATATTTATGAAAATATTTGCAAAACCTGTTGTTATATTCCATCTTTATTTGATCTGGAACACGTCTGAAATCTTAATCGATTTTGAGGCGTTCTGCAGAGTTGCCGAACCGAAAAAGGAAGCGGAATCGGTCAATGAATTCGGTAGGGGGAAAGATCTGGGTCGTCGCGAGATCAGTGATGGGCCAAGGGCCTTTGCATTACACAGCGCCGTATATGAAAAAGTTTATTATTGTACTGGGCGCGCATACAACATATGTTTTTTGAGGGCACAGTCTTTTATTACAACTTGTACAATGTGCATACTGGTCGCTCTTTCACAATCCTTCGCAACCATCCTGGAAAGTTATTTTCCCATTCTTGCTAATATAGGATCATGTTTTATCCCTGAATCCATCACCTCACATCTTAAATATTTATTTTGAAAACCAAAAGATTTCGGTTTCCCTATTGCTTGTCCGATGATGTGGTAATGACGGTGATCGACAAGTCTGTTTGCTTTTGTACGCACAATGGGGTGAGGTTGCCGCGTCTGCATTTTACATGAAAAAATATATGAGCTTATATTGACACCTAACAAAACTAAATGTCAGCAAAAAACTGGTGACGGTCAAATCTGACCAGTGGATGGAACAATAGTACAGAAGATGTAGGAATAATATACAGATACCGAAATTATTAACGATAAGATTCATTATAGATGGCCAATTTTTCACGATGTAGTAAATAACAACAAATGACACTGAGCTGATTTATGATTTATTTTTTATACTATTCTCGGTAAGGAAAATATGAGTTATTTCCCAAAATAAGATCAGAATTTCTTAAATGTCCTCCACTCTAATTAAACCGGACTCGTCTAAAAAGAGCAATAGCTTCCGGAATGGCTTAGGCAATAATTGATGGGTTTTGATTTTCAAAATTATTTATTGAAGACAGTCTCTCCGGACTATTTTCACTAGAATTAATAAAGCACTATGTAGTTCGAAGGCTAAAAAGGAAACTGAAGTTGAACTTATTGTATATTTTTTGACACGATTTACTCGAATAGGACGACAATAAAAAGTATCAAAGTTATGCAATGTGGACCATGGAACCAAAGGTGATTATCTACAAAATTTGTTGGCGTTAAACCTATGCTAGGGCAGTCTGTAGGCTTCTCGACATACGTTATATGATACCGCGGTATATTCAGAATAACTTCTTGTAAAAGGGTACTATAAAAGTTTTGCAACATAACTTTATTTATTGACTTCGTTCAAAGTAACTTGCATCACATTCAATACACTTCTCCATCCGCGAAAACCAGTACCTAAACCAGCTCTGCCAAGTTTCACCCGGGAGTCCAGCACACTCGCTCTCCCGTCTACCTTTTAGCTTCATTTTTACATGCGGAAACAGGCAAAATCGCAGGGAGCAAGGTCTGGACTGTAAGGAGGGTGTTCAATAAGTTTCAGTTCAGTAGTCGTCAAATACTCGGTGCGGGCTTCGGCGCGGTGAGCTGGCGCTGTCATGGTGGAGGTACCAAGGGTCCATTCTTGACTATGGGCGCAGGCTTTTCTTAGACTCTATGACTTTGGGCAGGCATTGTTGCGTGTACCATTTACCTATGACTGTCTTCTTTGTGTCCAAAATGACACGCTCCACAATCCCGTTCGATTTGAAATATATACTGCTATCACTTTTTCTCAATAGATCGGGATTTTCATCATCATCAAAGACCCA